TGTGCCAAATCTTGATGAAATTGCATTCGTCATAACAGACGAGACTTCCTATGAAGAGCTTATACATTTGAATCGATTAACAAAATTACGAAAATTAAATCTTATTTTCTCAAACGAAGCGATGCCACTTATTGATAGATTGATTGGCTCATTGGTTGAACGCGATATGAATATTGAACAACTTGCTTTGTTAAATGAAAGTCCTGATGACTTCAATTCAGACAGCCTGGCACAGCTAAAGTGCATAACAGAACTCTTTGGTCGAAACATTTCAAACAGTTCACTTATCAATGCCGTCACGAATCTTCCGAAACTTGAACTCATCGAAGTCTATATGAATTATGTAGACACGTTTATTATCGAGAAAATTCTAAAGCATGGAACAAATTTAAAAGGTTTATATTTTAATGTGGAAAATATGAGAATAAATTTAGATAAACACCAGTCCATTTTGCGTGAGGCTGAAGGTCGTGTCAAAATAAGAATTCGATGTCGTTTATGATATGTTAGTAGTGAACTGTTGAAATGCCAATGTAAATGGTGTTGAAAATATGTCATATTGTCTATATTTTCAGCGCATCCCAATACTAAATAAAGTAAAAAATCACAAATACTCTTTAAATTGTACATCGGAAAAATATTAAAACATTTTTAATTGTGAATCGTGAATTTATTTTCAGAATTATAAAAATTTGTTCGAAAATAGACAAATCAACTACATGACAATGTAATTAAGCATATGTGTGAGCATGCATAAAAATTTGGACGATACCATTTTGCACATAAATGACACTTCTAACATAGTATTGTCGTTGTTAAACTGATATGCGACTCCACTTCGTCGCAGCTCATACAAATGACTTCAACAACATAAATAAGACTGACACAATGACACGACAAAAGTGTAATTAGTCATCTGTGTGAGCGTCAGTGGTCGTTAGATGCATTTGAAAAGGATCAGTCTCGTATGTGCATTTGAGTGTGAAGCATAGACAAACGCAGTGGAAAACTATTATTTGGTCAAAATTATTTGAATTTTTTGGTGAATTCAACTCAATCAATTCTTGTGCTCGTTAAAAATGGCATTATCCGAAGAACGTCCAGCAAAACGTCAACGATTAGAAAGAGAAACCATCAACACCGGGATATTAATTAAAGAGAATAAATTACCGGCAACAAAAATCGGAAGTTTGTACCTAAATGAGAGATCAGCCGATGTATATTTTGTGTGCGGAGAGGAGAAAAAGCGTATACCAGCACATAAATGCATTTTATCAAAGGCAAGCAGTGTATTCGATGATATGTTTTATGGAGAGGCGGCAGTAAAGGGCGACGTCAAATTGGCATCAACATCTCCTGAAGCGTTTAAGGATTTTCTGATGTTGTTCTATTTGAAACAAGTGAATATTCGCACTATACATCTGACGGAAATTATTGGTCTAATGAAGACATTTGGTGTAAACCGTGTGTTGTATGACTTGAACATACCAGCCGCAAATGACTCTCCAAGTCACATATTGAATGCACTTAATGACGATTGCATTCAAGCCATCTTCCAAAAAATTACGCATTCTCGTGACTATCTGAATGTGGCTGAAACATGTCTTTGGTTTCAACAAAGTGCAAAGACGGCCTTTCCATCTAAATTGGAAATGTTACGAATTTGTAATGTACATGATCCGATTACGTTAGATCTAACACGCGCAAAGAAATTTTTAAAACATTTTGGACCATCAGTGAAATCAATCGACTTCAAGCCTGAACATGGCAATGAAAATGATACTTTAAATTTGATTTCGGATTTGTGTGGCAAAACGTTAATTGAATTGAAGATTAGTAATGCCAGTGAGACTTTAGATTTTAACACACGTTCACCATTTGATGCTCTCGAAAAATTGACCATTGTTGGTTGTACTATTTCTAACTTTAATTTGAATTCACCATTGAAATGCTTAGATTTACAAGAGACAAATTTCAATCCAACGGAAATCATTCGACATTATCCGCAGTTAGAAGAAGCCAATATCCGTTTATACAAACACAGTTATCAATGTACTGATTTATACATAAGCCATGAAGATTATATGGGGTTTGTAAGATTAAATCCACAGCTGAAATCATTCACTATATATAACTTTCATCCACGCTATCTCGAAAATCTTGTGAGTCTTGTGCCAAACCTCGTTAGTTTAACACTTGAAGAGTGTGAACTTGTATTTCGAGAGAATGAGTTTATGTTATGTTTGAGTCGATTGCACAAATTGAAACGGTTATATATTTCCAGCTACACTAGGAATGTAACTTGTCTCAATAGGTGTTTGGATTCTCTAGTTGAAAATAATGTTCAACTTGAAGATCTAACCATTATTGGTGTTGATCTAGATGAAGCATCAAGTATAACAAAGCTTCAATTTTTGAAAAAAATAAATATTAATCATCCTTCAAAGGAGAGTACTTTGATCCACTTTGTTAAAAATTTACCGAATCTCGAAGAAATTACAGTACGGTACTCAAGAGGGTGCTATCCGGTAAGAAAATTAACTGAGAGCACTCTAAGCGAAATTCTTGCATTTGGAAATAATTTGAAAAGGTTAACATTTTGCTTGGACATGATTGTCGAATCGGATGATTTCAAATGGATTTTGGCATTGATTAAAGGTCGTGTGAATGTTCAAATAAAATGTAAACGATGTAAAGTTTCGAAAGATCTTTTAGACGCCAATCGTAAATGGTTGGAAATTGAGCCTTATAAATCTTAATTTGATGCTAAACAAACTTTGAAAATATCGGAATGAATAAAGAAAAAAAAATGCTTATCTTGTGAACATGAGTTTTATGTTTTTAAACATTAAATAGATTATGATGCATTGTGAAATAGACGCTACAGCCTACAATCAAAAATTCAAATAAAATGGTCTAAAATTTGTATTATTATTCAAACGTAGTTTATTGAATGAAAGCCATTCGAACAATGTACAATACATTTTTATATATTTTCAGCGAAAAAGTAAATCATTGAATTTTTCGAATAGCGTTTCAATCGTGACAACTTTGAAATGTTTAGATACTGATTCGAGATGAGCTTCCGGAAGATGCTGATGCACCAGCTTGCGATCCGGTATGAAGACTTGATGGCAGGACAGTTTGATACGAATAGTCACCGGACTGTTCTGTAGCTTTGGGGATACTAGAAACAATTTTATCCAACTTTCCTGCTTGACCGCTCAATCCATTTGCTGTATTTGAAACTTGTCCCGATGCTAGATCAGACACACCACTAATTCCGCTCCATTTACAACCCCATTGTCCAGCCCCAGTTACAACGCCGCTCGTGGCTTGACCCGAATCGCTAGCTGAATTGGAAACCTGTCCTATTGCTTGGCCAGCAGCATTTCCGATGCTCTGAACAATTTGGCCAACTTGATTGGCTCCATTCGATGTGAGTGTTTCGAGTGTTGATCCGATGCCACTTGATGACAGTAGACTGGCGAGGCGACTAGTTGGTAGTGTTCTGGTGATAGAAGTCAATTTGCTGACAATCGATGCATCGATCGGTTGATTGAAAGCAGACAAAATCGATGATGGCAAACTTTTCAAAACATCCAACGGAGCAATCGCATTAAAAAGGGTGGCCCAAGTTGGGTTTGAAGTGGAAATTACATTTTGGATTGTTGAAGCAGCCACTTTACCGCTGCTTGGCACTAGTTTGTTGATGGGACCGGTCAAAGCATCACTTCCGCTGCCAATGCTACCAACGCTTGAAACTAAACCGCCAAAACTACCGACATTTCCAGCTACATTTCCGCCTTGTTTTTGAATATCGCCGATAGTAGACGATGGCAGTTGACCAATTATGAAACTTACGACACTTGAAGCTGGCACTTGGCCTCCATTTGTACCGCTCAATTGTTTGACAATCGAAGATGGATCGACTATTTGATTCCACTTCCATCAACATTTAGTCCGGCTTCTTGGATCTTCTGCATGAGCGAAGGTAGCAAATCACTGTTATTGATAACAAATTTTGCAATATAGTTAATCGAATTAGCGGTACAGTCACACATACAACTGTTGCTCGATACAGTTGATAGTGTGGGAGCTGCGCCAACGACTCCAATAGCAAGTAATAAAGCGAATAAGTATTTCATCGTGCTTATCAACATTTTCTTTTCATCAAATGGAACAATGCGTTTTCAGTCGTCACATAGTTTGGTGTTAAATCGAGTATAACTTGAGTGGTTCAAAGCAATTTTGTATCAATTAGTTGGGCTATTTGGTACCAATTAGCTTTGCTAAATGATATCATTTAGCTCCCGAACATTTTTCCGCACTTTTATGTTTGTATTTTTAAAACCATCTACAATTCCAATAATATATTTATCCACCATATCCGTACCAATCGAATACGTTTTATCAGCAGGTAAATTATAGATTACACCCTTTGCATTGATCGATTGAAGTTTTATCAATTAATTGTGAATCGACTCCTCTATATGAATCCTTTTTTGACATTACAAAAAGTGGCCCTTCTATATATCTATGCATACGAATATACAATATTTCAATTGGATTTCATGACGAAAATGGTTAGAAAACAAGACAACAACGTTACCATTCCAGTGGTTTGTTGGCCAAGCAGTTTGGTGCTTCTGAAATAATGAAAGTAGCAGCGACCTTTATATGTGCGACCTTTGACACACGAAATGAAACAAACAAATTTCTTATCACAATTCAAGCTTTTACGAGAAACCGATTGTGGTTGTTTCGGTAATGATGGCATAAATTTAAATGTCAGAATGAGAAAACATTAAATTCGAATGATTATACAGAACCATACTAAATATATGGCTAATCCATAAGTAAGATACATACTCATAAGTCTCATCCATAAATTAATGTGTTTTGGAACTGTAATGCTTTTCAACCAAAAATAATTAATTATACCTTTGTTATACTATACAGTCGTTTGAACACTAAAAATTTTATTTAACATTGGGTAAGATAAATAGCATTGAACATTGAATATTTATATGGTCGAACAAAGTTTCAAGTTGTTAATTGAAATGTGAAGATTAATCATTCTTTTATGTTATGCATTTGGTGCAAAATAGCTCAGTTCAAAAAATAATTGATTCAATCCAAGGTATATAAAAGGCGACGCGAGTGTAAAGACTGGGTAAATCTGCACCGCAAGCAATACCAGCACTAACGATACCAACTATTGTGACAGTGTTTGGGTCATTGTTGGGAATATATTGAAGTGGACCTCCACTATCGCCTTGGCAAGCATCCCTCTTTCCTTCTGGATCAAATACGCAATACTGTCCAGGATCAATGCCATCTCGAAAAGACGCCAGATTCGCCAGTTCATTGTAATTCAAATAAAACCGATTGCATTCATTTAATGGCTTTGTATTAACCGCAATTTTACGTAAATCGTTTGATTGAGACTCGCCTAATACAGTCAAAAACGGAAATTGAAAATAAGATAAATTTGCAAAAAAAACGTGTTTTTCGGAATAGAATGGCGAACCGAATATCAAAGTAGTTTCACTTACGGTTCGGATTAGTATTACCCCAGCCGGTCACAATCAGTTTTGTAGCAGTATCTACATCTTCTATATTTGTGTGCAAGCATGCCGGTCTAACGGCATTGTTGAATGCGATCTTTAGGGTGAGTTTAAGCAAAGCAATATCGTTCTTTTTGGTCATCACCGAATAACTTGGATGACGTGTGATATTCTGATGAGAAAATGAAATTTTTTTAGAAGAAAAAAAACAAAAGCTAGTGCATGTTTAACTCACCTTGATATAATAATTTGTAGCTCGAGTTTCATCGGTATACACATCTTTTAGACTCACCTATTTTGGAATTAGGAAAAATCATTTCGAATCGAGAAACACCGCGGTGAACAAACATTTTCATTTACCTTTCCCACACGAACTAATACCGGTGGATACTTACCCGTACAGCAATGCGCCGCCGTCATTACATAGTGCTCAGATATTATTGTGCCACCGCAGCCAAAGCTTATTTTGTAGTTGCTATTGTAGCCCAAGGCAGCCTTTTCATAAAAGCAAAATGCATTGAAATAATGTAAAATTATGTAAAAATGAAATCCTACCATCCAAGGAAATTCACCATTTTTTGCAATATCACCTTCTAAAATACGTTCGTCTATCAATTGATTTCCACGAATTAAATCGCATGCTAATTTTGCGAAAAGAAAAAAATCAGTTATCAATCATAACGATAAAACATGCAGTCTAGGGGATAGACACCAATTTCTACTATATTTAGTTTCATTTAATATTTATTGAGTTTCTTTTAGTTTCTTTTAGAATACAAACAAAAACGCAAATATTCTGAAAGTATTTCTAGTATTGAGCCAAATGAATCGCATTACCAGTGTGAAGATTATACGAAAAACAATCGAAACCATTGTTCTCACTGAACGCAAATATTTTGTTTACAAAAATGTACTGTTAATCTTATGATGATTCTCATCATAAGAAAAGTATTGGCAATGTATTTTGTATGGATTGGTCGAAGAATTAATCTGAACATTTGTTCACAAATATTCTTTTAGTTTTCTATAGTAGAAATTTGTGTCTACCCCCTAGCATTCAGTGCAACCGGCTAGCTATAGTAGCCAAATGTAGGGACTAACTGAGCATTTTTCACGTGTTTGAAAATCTTTTCAAATCAATTCTAAAATTCATGAATCATGACTCATTTAAAAAAATCAATAAATTTTTGAAATGTCGATGAATAATATTAAAATTTGTCCTCCTAGAGAATATGCAGTTGTCAAGTTCTCTTTTTGAATCTATTTTGGCTTCATTTAAAATATAATAAAAGTAATAATTACTATATTTGGTCTTTGAAGTTATATTCTGTCCCATCAAAAGTTTAGCTGCTTTCCCTTTACCTGAAATGGTTTTGTAAGATTAAACTTCATTGCGGTATTTTTGATTTGAAAATGTGTAGATAGATTACCTAGTCTGGCCACATCATGCGGTGTCTTATTTTCGTTATTTAGAGCTCTTATATTTGCCCCATTATTGACTAAATAGTTGACTATCTCTGCTTTACCTATAAAGCATGAATGGTAATGGAATTAACCTCCGAATTGAAACGATTTCTTTTTAATTCGAAAAATTGAATAATTACCTCTTTGAGCAGCTGCATGTAGTGGCGTATTTTTGTCGTTATCTTCAGCATTTATATCAATCCCTTTTTCTATTAGATATTCAACTACTTTTAAGTTACCTACAAAGCACGAAAAGTAATTAGAATATAAACATCATTGAAGTTTTTTATTCTTAATTGGAAAAAGTAAACAATTACCAAACGCAGCAGCAATGTGAAGTGGTGTTTGTTTGCGTTCATCTTCAGAAAATAAATTGGCCCCATCACTGATTAGTTCTGCGATGTCATCTGTTTCGCCTAAAAATCATAAAAAATGATCAGGTTACATTTCAATGAGAATACGCACGTTTTTCCACGTTTGAAAACTACTTCAACTTAATAGTCAAAGTTTTGTCGTCGACTTGCAAGCATTCACAAAGAGATACCATAGGACGAGCTCAAAAGTGTCTTTCACATGTATTTATATATTGGTTGTGCAACTTAAAAATGTCGTATTTGTGTCAACTTCTTATGTATCATACGCGCCATTTTTTTGACAGTGACAACAAGTGTATCTTAAAGAGCGTCAAAAAAACTATTAAATTCCATCTGTCAAAGTGAATACAAGTTTATACACACAAGTTTTTTATTGCGTTCAAAATGTCGAATTTCGTTCCAACAAAAGATCTTTTTGGGGGTAATTGAAAAAAAATCGAGAGGGGTAAGCAAAAAAGTGAAGTGTATTTTGCGAAAAGTGTACTTTTTTCGTTTTTTTTGCTCTTCACTTTTTTGGCGAAAATCCCTAGCAAATTGAAAGAATTTTCGTACATGCCAAAACTGAAAAGCAAAAAAAATAAAAAGTCTTACGGGAGTAAGACGAACTTTTCCGCACTGTGGTAGTTGCGTATTTTATTAAGAAAGTTCAAAATAATATTTGTTCGATTTTTCAAGCCTTTCAAGCGTCGTAAAGTTCGAAACCAAAAAATATGTTTCAACTTTGGCAACGAAATATTTTTTAATTTAATAGCAGAAGTACCCGAGAAAAGATTTTTCACACTTTCATGATGAACCCATTTGTACGACATTTGAAAGTATTCTATTTTCTAACAAAATACTATAAAAAATATGTCTGACGTTAATTTTGCCATAAAAATTATTTTTGAAACACTTT